CTCTTGCCAAAAAGCATATTTCATATTTATAACATAAATTTGCATTTGAGTAATATCTGGTGATAAAATATGAAGCATCTTACTCAGGAGTAATCATCAGCAGTCGCAAAAATATGAAAACTTACTTAAATGCAGTATGATTTCTGTGAAGAATCTTTAAATGCCTCTAAATGACGGGAAAGGAAATGGGTCTATTGGACAATGGAACTATTCCTGACACTGAAGGCCCTCTACAATCTCTCCCTCTAACTCCACACAAACCCGCTGATGTATACCTGGGTATACCTACTCCCCAGGCTTTTTACATTCTCACTTCTGTGTATTTTTAATACTGGAAACTTTTGCTCATTCTAGAACTTTTTCTTATCTTCCTGGTTAGTCAAGCACCACTTGCTTTTTTTCTATCTGCCTTCTTTTTAAAATATAAACATTTCTTTGAAAAGAGGCTGCCATTCGCATCAGCTAGTGAGACAGATTTCCTCAGTGACCTCTGCTTTCACTGGCAGTGAGAGGCCAAGTTCTTAGCATGCCACTTTTGCCCTGTGTTTCCGGCAGTCCTCTCTTGCTCTCTCTGGTGCAGCCACAATGGCCTCAGATTGTTTCTAAAACAGAAGGCTCCCAGCCAAGGGCTTATGCACTCGTGAGGCCCACTGCTTTGAGTGTTCTCCTAAAGAGAAGCTGTGTGGCTTGTCCTCTTAGCCAGGGGGCCTTTTCTGACTTACCCAAAATGTCGCTCCTTTCACCCCTGCAATTCCAATTCTCTTTGCTCTATTTTTTTTTGTAATCAACTAATATGTATATGTAATATATATCTATGTACATACATTTATTAGCTTCATCTTGCTTATTACATCATTAAGATTGATGCAGTTATTCCAGGTGCCTAAAACAGGGCCTGCCAAATAGTGGGTGCTTGACACCTTTCTGTTGATTGAGTGGAATTTCTAGATTGTAGATTGTTCGGACTGCAGAATTTACTTAATATAATTTCAAGACATACCAACGGGCAACTCATTGATTACAATTTTACTTTAGGATGGGAGGCTATAATAAAGACTTCAGAATAAGCTATAACTCACTATCTTATCATGTTGAAGTTTATCACTTATTCATGCACAAATATTGGTGGTACTAACTACTGTGAGGCACTATTAAATCAAAACACAAACCTTACCTTATAGGAAAAAATCTAGGGTTAACCGCATCATTATGCAACTAGGCATAGATTTATCAATTGTGGTAAGTGACGCAAAGGGAAGCCTGGAGCTTTGATGCTAACGTGGCATGCAAAGCTGAGGAAGAGATGCAGGCTGGGCTTGGAGATGCTGCTTCTCTGGAGCAAGGAAGAGATGTGGACCAAGATGGCAGGTAGCCAAAGAAGCTGAGTGAGAGAGGGCCCTGGGAGGTCTTCAGCGATACCAGCTGTGGGTCTGATAATGCAAATACTAAAATCATAACTTGGAAGTTTCCTTTTATCTCTCTGGACTTCTATATTAATTTGGATTTCTATATTAATTTTAATTTTTAAAGGCTATATAAAAAATGAGTTGGGTGCAAATAATTTGAAAAATGTAGTCAGAAGGTCTCACATTATTCACTAGAAGTGTTCTGGTTCTGTCATTCACATCTCTGCTATCCAGTTCAGAGGCCACTGCTGCATGTGGCTGGTTGGAAAGCATGGGAAATGTAACCAGAAAGAGCTGAAATGAGTTGAAAGTGAACACACACGGTACCGGCGCGGTGGCGCAAGTGGTTAAGGTCCTCGCCTTGCTCGCCCGGGGTTCTAATCCCGGCAGCCCCGCTTCCCATCTAGCTTCCTGCCTGTGGCCCGGGAAAGCAGTCGAGGACGGTCCAAGGCTTTGGGACCCTGCACCTGCGTGGAAGACCTGGAAGAGGCTCCTGGCTTCGGATTGGCATAGCATGGGCGGTTGCGCTCACTTGGGGAGTGAATCATCAGACGGAAGATCTTCCTCTCTGTCTCTCCTCTCTGTATATCTGCCTTTCCAATAAAAATAAAAATAAATCTTTTAAAAAAAAAAAGAAAGTGAACACACATACTGATCATTAAAGACTTAGTATGAGTAAAAGAATGATATTTCATCAATGTTTTTATACAGATTTTACATTGAAATAATATTTTGAATACATTGTTAGAATGCATTTGTTAAAATTAATTTCCCCTTTATTTTTCAACTTGGACTGCTGAAATATTGTGAAATATGTTGGCTTCTTGCACATCTATTGGGCAGGGCTGTGCTGAAGGGCTACATAGATTGCTTTTTTTATTTCCTTTGAATGAAAATAACCATATGAAATGTCAGCAGGGCAAACGAAGACTGTTATAAACTGAGTAATATATATGCATGAGCTAGATACTTTTTCTGTTTTTTATAGTCACACTAGACATTTGCAGATAAAAGCTATGCACATCTATGGTTTTGCTTGTGTAATATTTGTATTCTCTTTCTTCAGGTAAGAACATCTCAGTTTGTTTGGGAGAACCACCTGCCTATGCTGTTTACCCCAGGAAACATTTAAGCTGCGGAATGCTGCTGAGCATGGGATCCAGGTTAGCTCAACAAACTTGGTTGCAGTGGTTAGTTCAGGGTTGGGCATGTGATCTAGGTCAGATTGTTAACAGTTCCGAGACTACTGTAAGAACTTTGGGGGAAAGAGAAACTGTTGCACTTACTAAGTTGTGAGATAAATAATTTCAAACTGACTCTTTGAAGCAGAACTTTTTTGATAATAAAAGTAGCTATAGGCAAGAAGGGAGGGTAGACATAAAAAGGAAATTTTCTGATGGTTTGCTTGATCATTTAGATCCAACTGTCCACTTTTTGGTCACATATCCACATTTTATTTTAGCAACTTGAGTTGGGTTTTGATTTTATGTGTTTGAGGACCACTGAGACGATCACTGATATAGATGCACTTGCTGAAAACTCTTTGAAAAGAATGAAGAGTCTTTCGTGTGGGCTCCACTGCTTGGTACAATCCAATAGGATAAAATAAATTAATGCAGTTTAAGGTTGGTACTTTCTGTGAGGCAGTTACATTTTCTTTGAGTGAAAACTGTACAACCAGGATATAATCTACATAGTGATTTTTTTTACCTCTTTATTGTTTGCTTTATTTATGTATTTTTTAAATTTCATTTTATGATACAGTTTGATAGGCTCTGGGATTCCCCCCACTCCTCCCCAGCCCCGCCCCCCATTTTGGATTCCTCCACATTGTTGCATTGAAAATTTCCATAAGTAATACTTGAAATGTTATAGAATACTTTTTAAAGGGTTCAAAGGTTTTTTTTCTGTTTTTAATGCTTGATGTCTATATGTGCAAATGTCTTTTAGTCATATGACCAACGTCTAGTTCAACTCAATTATTTAAATGTAGTATTTCTGTTAATAATTATTTCAATCAGTTGTGGGAGTTTTATAAGAATCAGTAATTATTCACTTTAGGGAGTTTTATAAGAACACAGTAAATTTTGATCATCTCTCTGGTTTTTCCCTTCAATACTTTCCTTCAAGTTGAATATATTATTTCTAAATATCAGCAACATTCTACACTGTGATGTGGAATTCTGGTTTTTGAATTTTAATTTCAGCTCAGTCATTGACGCTATGATCTGGTCAAGCCATAGCATCTGGACATTGGTCTCTGACCTTTACCTGTGTCCATTATCTGTTACTATGTGAACCACTGGTCAGGGAGATTCTGCAATGATTGAGTCTTGTTTAGTGTGTGTGTGTGTAGTGCACTCAGGTTTTTTATAATATCATTTTCATGAACTTTAAAAAATCTCTTGTATACATGGACTTATACATTATTTTACATCAAAACAAACATCATTTTTCCATTCCTAAGAACACAAACATGCACGTAATTGCCCTATACTCCTTGTTAAATAATCCATGATTAAGAAGAAAGATGATATAAGTTGTATTTCTAATTACTCAACATAGAAGTGCTAATTTCTATTCAACATCTTGGTTGGCTTTTTAAAAATAGGCAAAATCTTCATACACTAAGAACATAAAAATGTTTAGTTTATACTCACATCAGCAGACTGCATGAAATATTTCTAAGCGACTACATGATCCTAAATTATATTGTAAGAAAGTAAGAGAAAAATACAATGTGGAGATGAATGATCTGAAAGATAGGTATTTTGTGTGACAAGAGTTCTTGAAAGGATTACCATCGATGACCCATGTATGCCCAGAATAGACACAGACACAAGCTCTGTCTCAGGATTTCTGAGGACTTTCCTGTTGAAATGCCCTTGCCTCTTACCTAGCTGACAGCATAAAATTAAACATTTGCAAAAGAAAAGCTGTGCAATGCAAATAGGGACAAGCAACAAAAGGAGTAAAAAAATAAAGATCCTTTTGAGGTTCATAAGTGAATAGAAGAAGACACCCAAAGATCTCAGAGAAGGTTCTGCCCTTGGAGGGCTAACTGCAAGGGTTCATAGGCTGGCAGCGGAGCTCTGAGAAGCCAAATGGCAAGCTCCTGGTCTTCACTTTAGAGGCAAACAGCAGCTAAGGTCTCTGAGGGAAGACTTGCTCATTCCAAAGGAAACTGCATTGCATTAGGAGCCCCACACAGGAAGATGTCCCACTCCTGCCCTAGGTGACATAAGGCTGTCCTTTCTTGACAGTGTGCATGTCTGATGGACTAGAGAAGGGGGATTTTATGGCAAGAGGGTATGGCACAGGGGAAGAGGACTGTGGCTTTAGCCAGTTGAAATCAGCCTTTATCTTACCATAATTGAGGCAAGCTTTATCCTGACTCACCTGGCTCTATATCTATCGAAGACGTACAGATGCTGCGGTGCTGCAGGGTCACCTGTTCTTGACCCTTGGAATCTCTGCTAGTGTTTGTGTGTGTGTGTGTGTGTGTGTGTGTGTGAGAGAGAGAGAGAGAGAGAGTATGTGAGAGAGAGAGAGAGAGAGAGAGAGAGAGAGAGAGAGAGAGTATACACAGTTTACCTTTCTTCTTTCCTCTGCGGCCTCCAGTTTTTTCTGGATCTCCTCCAGGGACAGATCTTTCTTCTTTGGAGAAGCTAAAGTCCTCGGGGCTTCTGAGATAGGAGATGGTGGCTTTAGGATCAGCTCAAAAGCCTGGCCGGAGGCACGTTTGTTGATTTGCTTCACTTCCATATCTAAGAAATAAACACCGGAGAATGTTGAACATGTAGAATTCAAAGCTTGGGTTTATTTTAATGTATTTCAGCAACTGAGAGAGGCACAGTTATTTTGGGGAGTAGAAATAAAATGCTACATTTGACAATTGCCCTTACATTGTTTCGAATGCAGAATAAGACCCCTCTCTTTAGTACTATTATGAATATATTTTAACAGATCAAATATTTATAGCATTGGGAAATTCAATATATATATTTAGATGATGAGGAAAAGAAGAGCTCTCCAGTTCTCACATACAGTTTAGAATCACATACATATATCTAATATTACAGTGTTTGCAAGCCCCAGGAGTTATGTGAAAACTCCTGTCACAGCTGAGCTGTTGGAAATAATTTGGCAAAGTCTAGGCTATTGGCAAGCTTCCTGTTGACTCCCGTGTTGTCTCTCATGTTTGTTACTCATCAGGAAGCGTGTGCTGTGTGCACTGTGGGCACAATGACATCAGCCTAGGATGGAGTCCTTACCTGCAGAGTGCTGACAGTAAGACAAGGCTTCACTGTGGTATTTTTTTGCCCTCACTTGCTGCTACTTGGACTATTTCTCTCTGGCATACCTGTACAGTGGCCAGATGTCAAGGAGAGAAGCAGTGTGTAGAGGATGAATAGGACTCCATGTACTAAGTTGGTTTCATACAGGCACACATGGGATTCAGCTTTAGAAGGAAGGAGTTTCTTGTTGGGTAGATTTGGGAGACATTGTATGTTGGCCAAAGAACACAAAATTTCAATTAGACAGGAAAAGCAACTTCAAAATATCCCATCGTACGACATGGTATTATGTTATTTAAAATTGCTTAAAGAGTAGATTTGCAGTGTTCTTCCGTAATATGAAGATATGATAAGCATGTGAGGTAATGTATATGTTAGTTAACTTGGGTTAGCCACTTGTTCCACAATGTATCCATACAAGATGTATTCAAAAAGTTAATGGAAAGTGAATACTGTGAAAAAACACTGCATGAGTTTCAAATTTTTTTTGTACTAAACTTACTTTTAAATTCTGTTTGCCATCAATTATTTATAGTACCTTCATATTTAAAGTAGATTTTACAATATTAGTGGATATAATCTTCATTTGTCAATTAAAAAATGATAGTGGTTAGTCATGTTTTTCATAAGTGACTTTTGGGCTAAAGATAAGCAGGTTATCAGACATTCAAGTTTTAATCCTGTATAAAATAGTTTTTAACATAAATATACTTAATAATAATATAAAAAATGATAGCATTTGGTGCGACATCCACAATTATATAATTCACAAGCTGGTAAAATATAATGATTAAAAAATCTCATTGATCAGTTCTCCTTTTTAGATGAATATTCTTTATTTTGAGTCCAGACAGGATCCCTTTGACTTCCGCTCATGGGCACTGGCTTGTGATGTGGCTCTTTGCCAGATCAGGTCATTCTCTGCTGCATCTTTCAAGTTCAGTTTTTCAGTACCTGCAGCTATGGTTCCAGGCTTATCTCCTCCCCTCCTGCCCCATGAATACCCAAAATCAGGGATGCTCAAGTCTTTCATATAAAATGACACTGGGTATGCATAGAATCTGCATGATCCTCCCATCAACCTTAAATCATCCCAGATTAGCGGTAATTTCTAGTTCCAAGTACATACAACATAAATAGTTGTCATACTGAATTGCTTCGGGAATAATGACATGTAAGAAAATTTGTACGTAGTCAGTACAGATGCAGGGTATTTTCCCCCAAATATTTTCCAGTGGAAGTTGGTTAGATCTGCAGCTGTGGATCCTATAAGAGGGAGGGCTGTGTACTACATCTCCCTACCCCAGGCTAAGCAGTCCCATTGAGATAGTTTCTAGATCTAGCATGTGGCTACCCTAATATTTAAGCACTAATTTATTAATGTTCCTTTGAAATCATGGCAGCCAAGCCAGTCAGGTCTCCAGGCTAGTTTTGACCAGAGCAGAACAGAAATCTTCTGATACGAAGATTATGTTTCCATCAATGCTCTTTCAGAAGCCTCTTAATACACAATGAGGTTGTGGTCAGGTTAAATTCCCAAGCTGACAGAACTGATGCCCTCTCCTTAAAAACTCACAGAGAACTAAGTTAGTAAGTAAGTTGGGACTAATGTGCGGTTTCCCCTGCCCCAACAAATATAAAAGTAATTTAAAATTTCCTGAAGCCATTCAATATTATATTTTGAATACAACTGTATTAAAACACTGTAAGTTTATCAAAATTATTACAAACGAGCATGGGCAAATAAAAAACAGTTTATTTGATATGGCAATGGAGTTTTACATAGTTTAACTGAGAGAATGGTATCAGAATTGCTTGTTTTCCATGTGAAGAGTGGGTTCCTTCCCTCTGAGTGACAGTGGGAAAGTTAATTAAATTCTTTAAGTTGTCATTCCATCACATAAAGACAGAGCTAACAAGAGCATCTTTCTTTGAAGCTTGGGGTGAAGATTAAAATAGGAAGAGCAGGGAATGTGAAACACAGACTGTGACACTTGGTATTTTCAAATGTAAATATTCAGTGCAAACTGCTATCATCCTTTTCTGCAACAAGTAATTCACATTATTATCTATATAGAAACACAAAGTCAGAAATTTGAGATTCTCTATCCATTTAATTCAATTCATAGGAGATTGTGTTATCTGTTCAGTTTCTGAATCTTGGGTGATATATAATTTTGAAATTTCTTCTACCCTTCTTCTCAATCGTTAAACCAATAGAAGCCATCATTACCTCCTCTTTCTAACCACTCTGTGTTCTACATTCTGACCTGACCACTTGTGTACGGAAAGACACTGTCCCTAAGCATTGAGTGCCTTGCAGGTAAGTTTCACCCTACATTCATTCTTGGATCGACAGTGAGTAATCAGATAATCCTAGAGACTCCTAAGAAAGATAGCAGGATTTCCAATTGCAGCCAGATTTAGCAGACGAGAAAGGTCTGCCCAGTTTATTGATTGACTGAATTATGCAAATCAGGAGCCGGGACTGGGCTTGTGTTCTAATCAAAGTTTTGGTTAGATACCCAACCTTTTCACATGGGGCAGGACATACTCCCTCTGATACAGCTGATTAGCTGTTAGGCTGTTTATGTCATCAGAAAACAATTTTGGGAGGAAAATGCCTTTGAGCACAGGCTTTAAAAGCCCAGAGAGGATTAACTGCCAAAGGCCCACTCACATGGTTTTTCATATTTTTCTTTACATATATGGAAAATAAAGATAACAGAGTCTAACCATAAACCATGTGTTAATTATAACATACAACTGTATCAAAATATTTTGATTAAATTGACTGAATTAGGTGAGAATGATGCTGTTGATGATGTTAGCTGCCTTGGTGCTTTGACTTAACATGAAATGCTTTAAACATCCTAACAACCTTACCAGGAGGTGTTCAATGTGGCTCCAAGAATCTAGGTATCTGCTTGCCTGAAGCGATGGAATTGGTGGCAAAGTTGGAAAGAAAAAACTAAGCAAAGGAATCAGGGTGCATTAAGCCTAGGGGCTATACTTGTACAAACTGAGCGGTCACACCAATGCTCTGGGCCTTTCTCTTTGTATCCTCTTTCCTGGGGCCTCAGTTATATCAGTTTTTTTCTTCAGTTAGTGAATTATGACTATTGTCAGTTTCCTGATATACATAAAATATAAAGACTATGATAAAGAAAAACAGTGGTGGTTATTGATTTCACGACATTGGTTTTCTAAGTACAAGTGTATTTCTTTGCAAATTGGTGTCCGTTCTACTTCCAGCATATTATCTGCAAAGAAGCTTTAAATGTATCTGGAGATGGATTTATTGGATAACGTTCTAGTCAGGCATCTTAGCAGATGTTAATGTGCTGTTATTAGCATCAAATGCAAGCTTATTTGAGCAATATTAAGATCTGTAGCTACAAGCATCCAGTCAATAGTGGGATCTACAAACACTGGCTTAATTCTATCAGGAGCCATGAGAGAGAGACAAACGTTGAGCAAGCTCTGCACGATCCAGGCAGCAGCAGAGTTTCCACTCACTGCAGGCAACTCACCATCATAAGTGTAGATGTTGATGTTACGGGGTTCCGGGTAGAAGCAAGAGCAGATCAGCGAAAGCATGGACAGCTCCTTCATTTTCTCCTTGTAGGCTGAAATGAAAGACTCAAGTTCAGGATCTTTCATTCTCTGAATTTTCTCTTCAAGCTTCTTTACCTTTGTATAATAATTGTTAAGTCTCCTGTTGAGCGGATATTGCCAAGTGTACTATGTTGCCCTCTTTCACAAAATGAAAGAAAAGATGGAAACAGAACTTTATACACTCTTCATTGTAGAGGATACGTGGTGCATATTAAGGTAGCATTGGAAACAAGTGTGAGAGAGGGTGAGCTATAGGAGAAAGGATGGAAGAGGAAATTAAGAGAGAGAGAGAGAGGGAGCTGCAGGAGAAAGGATGGAATAAGCAGTCTAGGGCAGGAAGAGACAGGGAAAGGATGGAGAAAGGGGTATAGCTAAGATCAAGAGCGACAGGCACATCATACTAGTGCACCGAGTCTCTGGTTCCTAAGACAGAGGAGGTCTCCTTTGCTGGTTCAGTCTGAATCATTATAGATTCCGTGGGGGATGACCTGAGAACCCATGAGTACAGTTAGCAGCTGTATCTTCAGAGATCCTATGTTGCGGCTTTCTCTCCATCCCAAGCACATTTTCTTATCTCTCCCTGTTTCTGTCCACACCAAAAACCTGGATCCAATGTCTGACATGGATATCCTTCCCTTCCTACAGAGCCCAGTTTGGTGGTTAACCTTGGCAAGCACCTGTGAAAATTCAGACGATGATCTCTCTGCCCCCTTTACTTGCCTTTCCCAGTTTCTTTTCTCCTTCCTCTTCCAGGAGGATGACTATGTTTGAGCATTGTCAATAGGGTTTGTTGACTAGCAGGAAGTATATTCAACACCTACATACTTTAAAGCCATAGAATGTTTGAGAAGTTTCTAGGAGATTACTTAGTCAACTGTCCATGCACTCTACCTATAATTAAGTTTACAAACAAGGAAACAGCCTCACAGGGCCAAGCCATGTGTGGCCAGTGACAAAGATGAGATCTCTGGATAAAATACAGTTAAATCAGTCTACCTCATGTCTGCCATGAGGGTTTGCTCCAACTCTGTTTTTAGGATGAGCTTCAGTGTGTTGGCACAAATTTGAACCAACACAGAAATAAAGCACAGCCAATTAAAATTTCTAACATAACACATCCAGAGGATTTGCCAACAGAGGAATCTCTTCCCATATAGCACTTTTCCTTAGAAGCAACACAATTTGCCCATGCCACAAAAATCTTGGCATAGCCATTCTGAGACACAATATTGCACACTTCTGGAATTTTGGAAGCTCTAACCTTACTTTCCTATTCACTTATTTGATTAATGCTATCATATCACATAGGAAGGCCCAAGAAGATCTTTCCATAGAAATCAGTGGAAATTACAATCTTTCCCCCCTAAAATATAATAGTTTAACACATGAAATTCCATGATCTAATTGAAAACAACAGCAAGGCTTTATGGGTTGATACATTTTTGGAAAAGAACGCAATACATTGTCTAAAACAGTTCACACACTTTGCCTAAGGCTTTTTTATTTTCTCATTTTTCTTTATGTTTGCTCTTAAATTAATTCTCACATGTGAGGCATGAACTATGTGACTATAGATAAACATACAGTTTTGTACAAAATGTAACTTCTTGGGTAATAAATATTTGTACAGAGGATCAACTTCTCAAAAAAAATCCCTGATTATACATACATATATATATTCTGAATGTATGACAAAAAATATCTGTACACTGATATTACAGCTAATCAGGTAAATAGAACATTGCAGTAATTATTTATAAAAATTTTCACTTAGTTATCAGGAATGCATTTTGATGGCCAATAATCTAAATTGTATCTGTTTTCTCTTCCATTGTGTGTAAACTTTGGTGGTGCTTTTCTTGAAGAGCAAATAGTGGTCACAGAGAAGAGTACAATGGAACTACAGATCTAATTATCATCAGACTTTGGGATAGATTAAAGGAGCAGAAAGACTCATTTCCTTGGTAAAATATAAAGTAGACACAATGTACTATTTCCCCTGTTCTTAAAGGTGTATGATAAACTGAGCACTTCGCTTAATCCTCAAACTTTTAAGTACACCTTAATTTTTTTTGGATTTTATTTTTAAAAGAAAATCATGTATTTTATTCAGGAAACTATACCTTAATATTTTTGAAAAGCTCAAACAATTATTTACTGATGCTCATTTGTCCTTGAATTTGACTGTATTAGGTGCTTGTTTGCATGTATATACATGTTTGCATGTGTGTGTGTGGTAATTTGCTTGCCTGAAGGTTTATAACCCAATATTAAGTTATTTTCTTAAACTTATATGTGTTATTACATTTAGAAATCATTTTGGGATGTTCACTACCATATTTTCTTCTTTACAGATGAAGTAGATAAAAAGATTTTATTTAAAACATTACTTACATATCATATTGATTCAACTTTGGAGTGTAAGATATTTTTGTTGATGGATATACAATTAAAGGAAATAAATTTAAAAAGAAAATAACTCATATTTTGGAAGGGCTATTTTAACATTACCAAAGATTATGGATATGAGATAATATTCTAGATATTTCTGCAAAGATGATGTAATTCTAATTGGTTTGATATAAAATTAGACGCAATCTTCATTCATTCTGCTCATCTCTCCCTACAAGAATTATAATCGTCTTAAACCTGGGAAGTTTTGAAATGTCAATGCTTTGACTGACCAAAGCGTCCCAGTTTTCTTCTGTTGAAATAGTTATCAATTGAAACACAGGAATGTTTCAGAAGATTGAAGTCATACAAGCCCATTACTGGGGTTTACAGAAGCACATTTCAAATCAAAGGATTCTTGCTGCCAGCGATTTGTGACAAGGAAAAGAAACAGGATGACAAAAATCAGTCCTTATGATCAAAATGGTGATAGACGCACTAAATTGTCCCAACCTGGAGCCTCACCTTTCTCCTGATTTCTACGAAAGCGCCTGCTGTGTTTAATGAGAGTCTCACTACAGCATGTACGGTCTTGCCCTTTTATTTATTAGTTCCCTGGATGTAAGAAATTCTTATAGTCTTTGGCACACACCAGACTGCACAGTAGTTTAAAGGAGTAATGGGAACTCTTTATTCTGTTTATGCATCAAAATTAATCACAAACCCTGATTTTAGGTACTGAGGGATATTTACTCCCATTAGGTTCCCTGAATGCTGCTTGGATTGAGCCTTACTTGAACAAAGGTTACACAAGATGGAGAGAGCTGGCTCATATGATTAAGCTGAGTTCTCATGTAAAATGGACTCTCTTCTTCCCTTCTTGTGGTCATCTGAGCAGGGATGTACCTGAGTTGGGGTGCTTTCAAGGCTGTCCTGCCTTTCTTGGAGTGTTGTCTCCAAAATGACTGAATGAGTCTTTTGAAGAGACTAAGATGTCTCCTTACCACTTTAAAATTTTTTCTTGAAGAGTGAAAAAGGACATCCCATCCATTCTTTTCTTCCTTCTTTCATTTGGCAAAAGACACATGTGCACTTATGAAGTGGACAGAGGTGATCACATCCCTTGCATCTGCCATTGATTCAGCACAGCTCACACCTGCTGACTACAGTCATCTTTGCACTTGGGGTGTAGGCTCAGGGGCAAAGAGGTCACTAAGTCAACAACATGGCGACTAACAGTCAAGGTCACTGGGTTACATGTGGCTTCTACTTCACATGAACTGTGCATTTAATCTGACGATGATTCATCTTTCTGAGACAACATGCTGATGATCTGTTATGTTCTCGGTGAAGCAGGAACATTGAGAAATGGAAAGGGCAAAAGTTCTATCACAGTACAAAGTTATATATTCACTATAGTTCATATGATTTTGTCTCAATTCATGGCCTACTTGATGTTTCCCCTTGGATTACCTAGGTGTTTACACATTGAGGATACAGACTTAAGGAGCTGTATCTCAATTGGGTTGACTGTTTTCAAGTAATGGAATACACCAATTTATATAGAACACTGGGACCCTAGAATGGTTTGTGCTACAAGTCATATCAGTTATATCCTAATTTAATTCCTCTGCCAATCTAGAGATTTGCTAAAATTGGGAGCATGCTTCTTGAAGCATATGAACTTGTATTTCCTTGGAATGGCAGAACATTTCAATGCACTTGAAGAATTTCACATTATTGTTTTAGTTCTGAGTGTGTTTTATAACCCACCCTTTGTTATAATATCAACTGTGAATAAAAGAAGTATTTTAATGTGGCTTTGTTGCCAAACATTATTTACCAAATTTCCACTGACTTGAGAATTCTGATATTGCAGTGTACAAACTTGTAGCAGTCTCCTGAAATCATTTTGGAGGAAAGGAATGATGCATAAATAATTCATAGATGACAACCACTTCAGGCAGAGGTCACAGATTTCTCACATAGGAGCCCATGTTTTTCTTGCTTCCACAAACCCAAGGTGGTGTCCAAGGTCTCCTTCAAGGAAACCTTGTAGACTGCACAGTAATTAGCATTTACTCAATACGGTTCTAAAAGGGCAGAATTTCAAATCACTAGCCATTATGGAAATAAAACTCATTCAAAAACTGGGCAGTAATTTTTTATGTAATAGATGCAGTAGACAAAACAGAACAGTCAATAAGATGTTCTCCCTGGATGAAAACAAGTCCCCTGATTCTGCCATTTACACTTAGGTAAAATGTCATAAGTCATTTTGCTTAACATCATGAAGCATAAGAGAAATGCAAATAAAAGCCACAATGAGCTATCGCTTCATAAAACCTATTATACAAAGCAACAGATTAAAAATGTTGGTGAGAATTTAAACAACAATCTCTCGTACACTGTTATCAGGAATCTAGGTTAATACAGCCATCATGAAAAATGGTATAATTGGTTCCTCAAAACGTTCTATGCCTACCTCTGTGCATGTAACCAAAGAAAATGAAATCAGCATGTCAAGACTGTGCATGCACCTTGTTCACTGTAGCACTAAGATACTGCTAAAGATACAGCTAAGATACCTGTCAATGGTGAATGGGTAAGTACAGATATG